TCAACTGTTATTTTAAAAAAAAAATTCCCAGCACCCCAGCTGCTGCAAAAAACGTAAAACTCCTGATTTATCTTACAGTGTATAATGTACAGTTCCTTACTGTACACTAAGTTTAAACATACTGTTGATATAATAAAGATAAATTATTGTTACAATTAACTATACTTATATTATCTTAACTTTTTTCCTGCTTCAAATGTCATTGATCACAGGTATTTAGCTTACTCAAAACTTAAAAACTTAAACTCAAAATCTTCTTGTGTTCAACAGAAGAAATAAATTCATAAAGGTTTATAAATACTTGAAGGTGAGAAAATTAAAAACTTTTTGGTGAACTACACCTTTAATAATCATTATTGCTAAATGTTAGCTGGTAGCTGGTGTCTTAAATCTGAAAATATACTGTTGAAAGATATTTTTAGAAAGGGAGAGGCAGAAAAGCTTAGATTTAGGCATAGTTGAGACATTTTTATTTAATTTAGTAAAGTGAATATTTTGTAGCACTAAATGTGTCTTTTTTTTACTTACATATTTTTTTTCACCGATCTGAACATTTGTTCCATCAGAGAAAAAATTTAAACTTGTTTCAATCAACACTTCAGCTTTCATAAATAGTTTCATGTTTGTTTGGTTGTTTGTTTGTTCTTTGTTCAATTTTTTGAGTGTGTTTGTAATTTTACAGGATGATATTTTCATGTTTATAGCATAATAAATTGGAGGGAAAGGAGTTCCATTCTTTGTTTTTGGTTTAAATTTACAGTACACAATATCAACTACTCTAAATGTCAGCCTAACCTCTTCTGAAACAAGTTATTGGCTAAATCTGTTTGGCTTAAGTAAACCCTTTCGCCATTTTTCAGAGCTTTCATCGTATTTACCATCTGTCTATTTTCTCTTGCCCTTAAATGTGGCGTCTCCTCGCATTTATCCCATAATTACAGCTGAGACAGGTTCCAGAACCCATCACCACTCTAACAAAGTTTTATTCTCGTTCCTGCAAACGACCATAATTACAACATTGCCATTCAAACAGAATTTGCCTATTGATTATGCATATATGTAATCCTGCATAGTTAAATCTCACAATGAGACGGGGCGGAAGAAAACGTCAGGCCGAATGACCTGCTGAACCCATTGCTCCTGTGGAAGTCACAGACAGTGTCGGCTGTCCCCAAGGAGAAGACTTGACTTGGGTACAACCATGTCACTTTGTGATGCTTGGCTTCATGCCTGAACTCGGCAGCTGCCATAAATAAACAGTGTTGAGAGTCACTGGCCTAAACCCAACCACGTCTACACTGGACGACAGCGTATGGACTGCTGGACAGAATCTGGCTCCACACTGGAAGCAGTGACCCTCTCTTTAACCCGATTCACTTCAATGCTCAACCATGGCTGAGAAACACTCAGTAAAAAGTAAAAAGGGGGTGAAGAAATAGACAATAAAACATCAAATTCATCTCTTCTACATTCTGTAAAAGACCTTGTTCTCTAACAAAACATACAAATGCAAAGGCCATAGTATATCAGGTCCTACTTCAGGTTTCTTTAACTAAACTTTAACTATAACTTTGTTTTTGTTTTTTAAACTATAACTTGAAACTACTTGTTACAGTGTAGTTATTGTGTTTATATGTTAAAATGCAAACTATACACTATCACTCAAAAGTTTGGGGTCAATAGGATTTTTAAATGTTGTAAAATAAGCTTATCCTGCTCACTAAGGCTGCATTTATTTAATCAAAAATACAGTACGAATTGTAAAATTGTGAAATGAGTCACATGATCCTTCAGAAATTACTCTGATAATCATTATTATTTTTATTATTATTATTATGAATGCTAATAAAACTACATACAATAAGAAAGCAGTTACTTAACATTTTAATAAATATTTAACATTTTTTTTTACATTTAATAAATGCTATTTTAATTTAAAAAATAATTTTCCTTAAAAAAAAACATAAAAACGGACCCCAAACTTTTGATCGGTAGTGTATTTGCTGCTATTGAGGGAGTAAATAATTAAGGTGGAGGTTAGGCTTAGTTGGTGGTCAAATAAGCCACATATATCTGGTAAACAAATCATTGTTCATCATCACAAATCATGGCGCTACATAAAAACATGAAGTTACATAAAACAAAGCACCAAGAGTTTGGTTTGGCACGATTTGTAGGAATTTGAAAATTCTTTGAACCATTTAAGTTATGTAAGTACATACACTACCAGTAGTTGTTTTTTTTATGTTTTTTTTTTTTTTTTTTGAAAATGATTCTGTTCATCAAGGCGGCATTTATTAAATGTAAAAAAAAATTGTTAAATATTTATTTATTAAATTAATTACTTATTGTATGTAGTTTCAAATGAAATTCTTACTCCAGTCATTATTGCTTTTATTACTATTACCATTATTATAATTAATAAAATTTTAAATATTTTAATAATAATAACAATAATAATTAATTTTAGAGTGATTTCTGAAGGATCATATGACTCTGAATACTGGAGTAATGAAGCTGAAAAATCATCTTTAAAATCACTGGAATAAGTTTTACAATTTGTTCTGTATTTTTGATGAAATAAATGCAGCTTTGGTGAGCAGGATAAGCTTATTTTAAAACATTTAAAAATCCTACTGACCCCAAACTTTGAACGTTAGTGTAAGTCATCAAAATATATAACACAGTTTTAGTGGTTTTGGCATATTTTAATGAAAAAAACAATTACTGTGCTAACTGTACTGTATAGTTTTACAGTTTACAGATTTGATGTAATGAGTAGGGAAAATGTTAAGGGCTGTAAGTATAATTTAGCAGTATGGGCAAAGTTTAGGCATGGTTTATAGGGTCGGTTTTCCTGGGATGATACAGGTTTGAGAGATAGTTAAGGTTAGAGACCTGCTTTGTTGTATACATTCTAAAAATGCTGGATTGTTTCAACCAGCATTGACTGGTTGGGGTAAAAGACACAATTAAAGGCAGGGTTAAAAGTTAAAGTTACTGTAGGTGCAGCTGATATCCTTTAAGGGTTGAGAAATTGATAAGTGCAATCCACAGTGTAATTATTATAAGTGTATTTAGTTGCAATTGAGGAGTTGAGATGTAAACACCTCTACGTGCCATCTGAAATCTTCTTACAATATGAGCATCACATGTTTGTGCTCAGTTATTTAACATTTAAGAGAACCTATTACACCCTTTTCTACAAAATGTAAAATAATATTTATCACATAATAAAATGTGATGGCTCACATTCCGCTTAAAATAATATTTTTTTTATTCCTTAAACTGCTCCTTTTAGGCTTTAATCCATATTTAGCTTTTACGGTGACTGTTGCTTTAAATTCAAATGAAATTTTGCTCTTAAACCTCTTTTCAAAAGAGCTACAAACTGATAATGTAAAAAAAAAGTGTCTTAGAAGAAGGTTGTCTGTGGAGACTCATTTGTGCATCCTAAAACTTAACCTTATTGCACCTTACAGCACAAAAACTCTAATGGCGGATGATTGCTTCTCACTTGTCACTAATGGGCAGGACTTTCCTCCTCTGATGACATGTACAAAGGGAGAATGTCAATCAAAGGGTTTCTGCAGACATAAAAAATAGAATCAATATACTTTAACCATTAAAGGCTGGCTATATTCACACACTGTTGCCAAACAACTGTGTTTAAATCAATTATAAAAGTAATGTTTGCATAATAGGCCTCTTTAAAAGAAATTAAAAGAACCTTCCCATCGCCCTAAAGGTAAAATTACTGAATCTACACACAAAAATTCAATCAAAATGCTTATTTAAAATGTCAGAATGCCACTTAGAGGTGTTTCCAGCGTTTTTAGAATGTATACTACCAAACTTGTCTCCAACCTTAACCATCTCTTAAGGGCTTTTGGATCTGAACTCTTTAATTGTAACTAAAGCAGATATACATGCATGTACACAATAAGTGCATTATCTCAAATGAATAATTTAATTATTAATATATAGTAGCTAACAGCTACTAAAATTATACTACAGCATAAAGTGAGTCCATTAATCATATTTACTATGTTCTTTAGTCTGTTTCTTGTTTCACAAGCTCATTCAACATAAAGAGGAAAGTGTTTACTCAAATAAAATAATCTGGGGCACGATCTAACACACTTGTCCAATCTATAATTGTCTCACTCACTGAGAAAGGCACACCCAGTACAGGCACAAACACACATCAGTTTTTCCTGCACCACATCACATCATCAGTAATGAAGGGTCAGAATGAAGGTGTATTTATTTAGGTTGTGAATTTGAGTGTTCAATCTGGATGTGATGCAACTCAAAAGCTGTGTAATATGACGAAATGACAGGAAATATCTAAATTGTCCTTTCAGGCAAGGTCTGATTCCCGAGACAAATGACTCAAAAGAGTCTGTTAACCAGAGCATGAGTTAAGTTCAAATCATGAACAAATGAATCTTAAAATTTTAACAAATCCAAAATAGTTGTCTGATGCTCAAATGAATGACTAATGAAATAAATAAATCTCTCATGAATCATCAATAAGCTAAACTAAATCAAGTTACTGAAATTATTTCGTTTTTATTTTCGTCTGCCAAAAATAATAAACTAGAATAACTGATATTTGGGGCAACATGGTGGTTCAGTGGTTAGGAATGTCGCCTCATGACAAGAAGATTGCTAGCTCGTGTCCCAGCTGGACCAGTTGGCATTTCTGTGTGGAGTTTGTATGCTCTCCCTGTGTTTGCGTGGGTTTCCTCAAATGCAAACAACCTAAATTATTAATAGGTGTTTTCTCAAACAAACTCTCAAATTCAATGTTCAGGTAAAAATCAGTATGCAGTATTTATAAAAGCAACAGTTGAACCCATACACAGAGATCAGATATCTGGCCACATCTGCTGCAGAAATAAGTCACTTGTTCAAGCAAACTAGAAAACAGATGGGAAAAGGGTGAAGAGGTAAACAGCCACAATGTGTATTGCACAACACATACACACACAAAATGGGACAAGCTTCTGCTTTATTAGTTTTATTCTATTTTCCAGAGATATCAGTATTTTAATAATGTTTTGAGCAACAGATTTTAGTGTTCGTAGTGCAGTAATGTAAACTGTTACACTATCTGTTTAAGTAATACTCGATTTATTTAACTTTATGCCGTTTTTATTACATGGCTCAATTATACAACTGTATGTAAAAGCTATTTATAAAAGACAACAATATAAAAAAGCTCATTTCTTTTTTTGGATTTTAAAATGATTACATTTATTTGTTAAAAAATGAAAATAAGTAAACTTGCAGTAAAATCAAGGAAATGGCAATCAATGCAAGATTATACAGAACTTGTAAACTTTAAAGCTAATGCTAAATTGGAGTATGACATGTTTTCTGTTAGTGCTAGTGAATGCAGTCAGTAGTTTTGAAACTGACAATCAAAGTCTGTCATTCGGCACAGGATGTACTTCCACTGCCGATCCCTGCAACACATGAAAAAGTCAATAGACAACAATTTAACAAACAGTAACAACCCTAAAAATGCTTTAGGTGCAAAACATTCCAATAAAAAAGACAACAGTGTTCATACAGACCTCAGCACACCACTGAAAGTAGTTTGAGCCCCTCTAATGAAGTAGCCGTAACTGGGAACCACCATCTCACCCTCTTCTCTGTAGTACTCTGGAACATCATACGTCTTCCTGTGCATAAACCATCAATATGCAATTACGGGAAGGTTTTAAATTACATGGAAAACATCCTATTGTCTCGTTTTAATCTAATCTCTATTATGTCCATTATGGCGAATGACTCAGTGTGTTGTTTGTTAACTCTATGAGAACTCACCAGCAGGAATAGGGGCACCTTTGAGCATATCGACAGCAATAGAACTGCCATTCTCGATCCAGAACTGCTTCAAAATACTTACTCTGCACTCCTGCTACCAGTCCATTACTAGTACAAACTGAAGACCTGTAATGTAGAGAATACAGAAAGGGCTCTTATACTGACTGAAGAGGCTGAACAACAAGTGTGTGTTATTTGCTAAGCATAGTTTACCATGAAATTAAAATGTACTCAACATTTACAACATTTATGCTTAAGTGAATCCAAACTTTTATGATTGTTTTTCTTTTATTGTATACAAAGGTATTTTGAAGAAAGCTGGTTAACATTTCTCAACTTTATTTATATATATGTTTAAAAGAGTTTCAAACATTTAGATGATGACAGATTTATTCCTGTAAATTAATATGAATCTTTCAAAAGAAAGCTTTGGAGTTTTGGGGTTTTCTGAGGGCTCAAAGAGACTGTCTGTCCCACATGTGGCATGTGGTGGTGTGAGGTTGTCTTGTGTGAATCTTTCTGTTTATGCTGAAGGACTAACTAAAACACCAAAAGCAACGTGTGTCTGACAAACATGCATAAATAAAGTAATAGTTCTGTCCCTTTCCGAACTTCAATTTGCTATTAGAGGTCTTTGAAGGAAGTATTTTCATGACGGTGAGTGATGCATTATAAGCTGATGCATTGTTCAATAAGCAGTTTCACTTCATTGTGCAACCAAGCACTGATAGTGCACTAACTGTGCACTCTAATTGTGCTGGGAAACACCCATTGACATTCTCATAATCTCATTCACATTCATAAACTACGGCTAAATTAAGCCCTGTCCACATGTACATGAGTAATTTCAAAACTGCAGTTTTTGCTACGTGTTTGTTTGTTTGTTCAAACGAAAACCCAGATGACTGAAATCGAATGTTTTTAAAAAACTCTAGCCAGGGTTAATATTTTCCGAAACTATGGGTACAGTGTGGTTGAATGGCCACTACAACCAGAGTTTTTTTTTTCTTATGACATCTGCGTGTGTGCTGTTTTCTACTTTCTGATTTGCCTACACGACTGGTTTCACACCAAACATGGAACACAGACTTGAGGCAAATTGTGCATGTTTATGGCACGTATTGTGTATTTCATGTCGTTCACACCACAGGATGGTCATCTGGCTTTGTTTTAATTTTGCATTGTATTCATTGTACTTTTGCAAATATATAATTCTATGTTTGGTGTCAGCATAAAAATACGGTGTGTGTATGATCTTAGTTTTATTCAATTTACATTTAGCACATCACAGGGATGTTTCATTTTTTCCAGAAAGAGTCAATAGTATCTGGATGCAGCCTTTATGATGCAAGCTGAGATTGCATCTCTCAGAGATGTAATGTCAGACACAGTGCACTCAATATAGCTAGTGACATCACTGTGATGGGTAGGGTTAGGGGTGTGGTTGGGTGAGCCCATTCAAAAGCATTGTATGCAGCACATTGCACTTGCACTGAGTCTGCAGCCAGATCTCTCTCGAAAGAGTAATCTTTTTTGAACAAATCGATTAAGTTAAAGATTCAGTTCAATTTTTTCTTTGAGAATTAATCATTATTGTCAAATTTGCACTGTCCTATGCCTCATTTAATAAATACAACTCGCTATTTTGTACCTGAATGTATAAGTAAAATGGTCCAGTGACTCACTCATATACTGTAGGTACTAGGTTCATTCTGAATAAATAATCCTTATTCAAATGAATGAGTGAATGTTTCACTGACTCTATCATAAAGACAATTCACTTGGTCCGTAGCTGAATAAAATAGGCAATATTGCACAATTTGTTGATGATTGTAGACTCATAAAGATGAGTCATTACTCTTAACTTGCTTTTTGTCCAATTAAATGTAGGGCTGTTACACAAACTAGAACTGAAACTAACTGTTATGCCTTTTCATTTAAAAGGGATAGTTCACCAAAAAATATTCATCATTTACTCACCCTTAAGTGGTAGAAACATTTAATAATTTCTTTATTTTGTTGAATGGAAAAGACAATCATTTAAAGAAAGCTGAGAACCGGTAAACGCTGCTGTCATCTAAAGTAGGAAAAAGAAATTATATGAAAGTCAGTGATGACCAGTTTCCAGCATTCTTCAAGATATCTTTTTTTGCGTAGAAACTCAAACAGGTTTGGAACAAGTGAAGGGAGACTAAATGATGATAGAATTTTCAGTTTTGGGAAAGTTATCCCTTTAACCAAAACAGTTTTTTTGGCAAAATAAACACTTGCAAATAAACTTGTATAAACACAATAAACTTCTGAATATCATATTGTGGCTTGTTAGAGTACCAAGATGTTTACCTGTTATGGCTAGTGTGTTAAATGAGTTTTTCCATGTAATGCAAGCAATTCTAAATTGATTTAAAGAGTCAGTATTTAGAAGTTGTTTGTGTTGTTTGCAAATGTCACCCCCGAGGGTTTTAAGGTTTTCTGTAAATACAGGTTTATTTAGGGTTGCTGCTTGTTTATGGCCCATACAAACTGTTGTCATCACAACAGGGAGCTCTGCACTACTCCCAAGTCACCCGCAGTGCCAGACCTTTGTCATAGCAACGTTAAAGTTATGTGCAACCATTCTACCAATAAGAAACAGGCCAGGGCCTTCTCTCAGAGGAATGCCCTCTATGCTGTAGTGCAAAATCAGATAGGCTGCTCTTATTAGAGTGGAAGAGAAAGCAATACACTAAAAAAATATGCATCTCAGTGAATAATTTTATTATTATTGTATTATTATTACACATTTATTACATTTATAAACGTTTTTAGCATATTGATTCTTTTATAAGAGCACTCTATCTGATTTGCCCTATAGAAATTATTCAAATTAATACGCTTTTATTTTGCAAGTAAACTTTATATTGATCAAAGCGTGATGATAAAGACATTTATAATGTCACAAAACATTTTTATTTCAGTTAAATTATGTTCAACACTTTCTGTTCATCAAAGAAAGTAAAATAAATCTCAGTATTTAACAGATAAAATACTATAGTCACTGTATATACATTTATTTCAAAGTTTTTGAATGGTAGTTTATAATGCCACAAAAGCTTTTTATTTGAGTTAAATTAGTCAAATAAATTCTGAACAGCATATTGAGAAATATACAGTAGTTATAAATACATTTAGTAACAATGTATCTTGTGCAATAAGGCGCAAGGCATGTTTGGTGTGATTTGTTGCTATTTTCAGACCAGCGCAACCCTTATTTTCATGTTTTTGCACCACTTTGTTTAAACAGCAAATCCATTTGCACCACTTTGTGGGCTCATGGGTGTGAGAAACTGAAATAGATTGACCAAGTAAAAGCTGGTCTAAAGTCCAGCGCCTGTGCTGGTTTAAATGCTTGATGCACACAGGATGTACATCAATACACAAATATCTTTACATATAAAAAAATAAAGGATTAAAATGTTATAAAATTTATTTTATACTACATAGATATAAAAACCACTACCTCCATGATTTCATGTCTGGAAATTAGAACAGAATTTTATTTAGATAAACTGAAATAGTTTTGAAACAAATTTTAGTGCTTAAATTAAATATGTAGTCTAATGGATGTCTTCAGTGGTGTGTACAACACTGTTTCCTTATCCATGAAGGTAAAGGAGTAAAGTAAATAGTAAATGTCAAGTAAAAAAAAGTAAAGAGGCAGAATAAATGTGGCTCATTCATTATCCTCACACAGATAGGCTGATTAACTGTTTTCTGGCTAGTGAAGCATTCAGTTTTTCCATTCAGTTCTTCATTTGCAAATTCCACCATGTAAATAGCAAATGTGCCATGTCGTTGACGCAACTGACTCTTAAAGGGAATGTGAGATGAGACTCTGATTGGGTCAATGCATGTTGTTCAAAACACACCCATAACTCATTAAGGGAATAAGCACAACCCTGTTAAACCATGTGCTGGGGTACAAAGCGTATTTTTCGTCTTTTAAATAGCTAAAATGAATTGAGACACGCCCTTAATGTGTTTGCGCTGTGTGCTTTAGACTTTGCACCTAAATAGTTAAAATAGAGTCCTTAGAGTTCAAATAGAGTCAATTAAAATAAATTACCTCTGGATGTTGGTAAGAACCAAATAAACCAATACATGCAATAATAATAATAATAATAATAATAATAATAATAATAATAATAATAATAATATTAATAATAATCATCATCATCATCATCATCTAATTAGTTTATAAATTAAGCTATGTGTAATAAAATTAAATGATACAGGGAAAATGTATTAAACACATGAAGAAAGAGAGGTGTAAAAAGACAGTGAAAGTCCAGACAGCAGCTGAAATCTCTCAGTAGTTATTCAGCAACCCTCTGCCATTCCTCATTGTAAATGAATATTAACTGCTTCAGTTCAACATCATTACCAGGATGATGAAGATGAAACCAAAGTGAACATTTCAGCAAGACAATGATCTAAACACAGTCTAAGAAAGTCTCAAAAGGTTTCAAATCTAGAAAATAAGGCTGTAGAATGGCCCAGCCAATCACCTGACTTTAATCCAATGGAAAATACTTAATAAAGATCAAATTTGACAGACAAGGCCCACACAAATTTTAAAATATGCACACTCTGTTGGGTTGAAAAAAAAATCACTCCTGAGCAATGAATGATTTAATTCTCCAAATGAGAGTCATCATTAGGCTGCCGTCACCAAAAAGCCTTTTATATAAAGTTTAAATTCATTTCAGTAGTTCAGTATTTTCTTCTCATGCTATTTCATTATTATTACATAACTATTTTTTTCAGATTTGTTTTGTTTTGTTTTATGTTTGTATTGTTTTAGTTTTTACCAAAATCTAGTTTAATTCCACGTCTGCTCCTTTAGAAATATTATTCCCCCAAAATGAAAAAAAAAAAAAAAAAAACGTGACATGTTCAAAACTTACTTTCCTCACTGTATGTATGTGTGTATTCTATATATGCAGTATGGCTATCTGTTCAGGAAATGTGGAAAAAGTGCATAAGTTTGCATAATATGATTTCTTAATTGTAAATTCCCAGCCTGCAGTGAGACTGACAGACCGTTTTTCCCTTTCAAAGCTCCAACAGCAGCAGCAGACACAGGC